TATCCCCAGAGCTACTTAAAATTATAAGCAAAGTATGGTCTCGATTCAAGCTATATATATATCTTCACTTAAAAGGCGGGCTACGAAGAACCGACTGCCATCCAGCGTCAAGCCATACCAATAGGACTCCAAAACAGAGATATTATTGGTGTAGCCGAGACGGGTTCTGGTAAGACCCTTGCGTTCCTGGTGCCTCTCCTCACATGGATCCAAAGTTTGCCGAAACTCGAGAGACTAGAGGTTAGCTGACTTTCGGCTGATTACTCATTATTTTTAGGATGCAGAACAGGGTCCCTATGCCCTAATATTGGCGCCGACTCGAGAATTGGCTCAACAGATTGAAGAGGAGTCCGTGAAATTTGGCAGTCCTTTAGGAATTAAAACTTTGGCTGTGATTGGTGGTCTTTCGCGCGAAGACCAGGCACTAAAACTGCGAATGGGTGCAGAGATTATCATCGGAACGCCTGGCCGCATGAACGACGTCCTGGAGAACCGGTACATTGTCCTCAATCAGTGCACATATCTCGTTCTTGATGAGGTGATCTATCCGTTTTCTCCTGCTTATAGTGCACTCGTTAACAGTGCAGCTTTTTGTATTGGTTCTGACTGTCTTCTCCTTTTAGGCAGATAAAATGATTGACATGGGTTTTGAACCAGACGTGAACAGCATTTTGGCCTACCTCCCCGTGACTAACCAGAAGCCAGACACCGAGGACGCTGAAGATCATGCTAAGCTACTGGCAAACTTTTCAAGCAAACAAAAGTACCGCCAGACAGTCATGTTTACGGCTACAATGCCACCGGCTGTAGAACGTCTTGCGCGGTCTTATCTGCGTCGGCCAGCAATCGTGTACGTCGGTACTGCGGGCAAACCCACGGAACGCGTGGAACAAATTGTTTACATGGTGCAGGAACAAGGCAAACGGTTAGCTTCCGATTTTCCGGTCTTTTTTACCTAGTGGGCCTTCTAACCTCCCTAAGCTAAAAAGGAAACAGGCAAATCTTTGCAAAATTATCTCGAGATTTATTTTATTAGTATTTAAGCAATACTTCTTTGTCTGATCTCAGTCCTCAAGTTGGGACTTCTCCCAGCCGACTAGATGTAGACCTCAAAAATACTATGCAACTATCGGCGTGATATTCGCCATACGATGACTTGACGAACATTTTAGGGTATAAGAATCAGTCTTCAAAATCTTTGTAGACCACACTAAGGCCTTCTACACTGCGAACCGATAGTTCTGGGGAATCGCGACTAAAATTGGATGTTCTGAAGGGCCC